AAAGAACAAACAGTTGTTTTCTGAGGCAGCTCCCCCGCGACCCCCCCTCCCCCTCTTCAGTGAGAGACAGGAAAGGAGCAAAGTTCTTAATTGTCAAGGCAAAGAAATGAAGACAATAGAAAATGTTTTATCAGAATTCATATTCCTCACTCTCATGTCCATTCCATCCACACCTGGGTCCTATTGCCACATATGACCCTTCCTCTGATCCCCAGGGCCTCATCTGGATATACATTCCATCATTTGATCCTTCATTCCCACCTCGAAGAGCTTGGGAAGGCCTACTTCCCAAAGGTCCTCCTAAGACTATCAATTCTTTTTCAATCCTTATTTGCTTTATTGACCTCATAACCAGTTGTCTGAGTAGAGTGATCACAGAGGGGATGAAGGCTATTCCTGCTACCCCACACAGCAACAGGAACAACAGCTGTTTGACCCAGGCTGTTCCTAGCAACCATGAAAACCACTGGTCTGTCTCTAATAATCTCTGTCCAATCTGGGATGCTCTTTCTTGCAGGTCCTTTGCAGCTTCTCTGACCATTTCTAATTTATTCATATAGAAACAGCATTCTAAAAGCAAACACAAACCACCTTTCTCAGCTGTCAGGAGGTCCAGCCCCCATTGATTTTGCAGGACTACTGCTGCCAAGGAGTCTGTCTAGTCTTGCATTTCGACTAAAGTTCAGGCAATCTGACCTAGGCTATGTTGGAACTCCTCTGACAGCTGCTTAAATTGCACTGTAGATTGAGCTAGGCCACCCACCCCTGTCCCAACTGCTGTGTCTATCCCCAGGATCACTAACAGTGGGATCACTAGTGGCACTCTTTTCTGCACATGTCCTATGAGAGGGACTGGGAGGGCCTGTTCCCCAGCAACAACACCCATCTTTGGGAAGAGATGTAGCAAGGTAGATGCCCCAGTCCAGTTGCAAGGCAAACACACATATGCATTCCCCCCACACAGGAAGAAGGCACCATTTTCTTCAAAACAAACTGCCATGCTCATGGAGAAAGCGTGAAAGTGCTTGTATTCATTATGCCAGATCCCCAAAGTCCCTGCCAGAAACATGCCAGTTAGTGGCTGGAGTTGAGGTTCTTCATGTCCCTGGACTTTGTCAATGATAAAGGGAACGGCAGGCTCCAGGAAATAGCGGGAGCTCTCATTTCCAGAAAGAAAGAGAGCACAGTCTGAGACCACTTTGTTGCTGCATTTACATGATCTCTTCATGGAGTTTCCTCTCTGTTTGGTAATGTGCAGCTGTGGCCGAACAGAGAAAGTGACCTTGTTTCTGTAGAGTTTATATGTGGAAGGGGAAATGTGTTGGAAGATTTTGATGTCCTCATGCTTTTTCTGAGGAGGGCTGATGGTCAATTCCATTTGGCACCCTTGCCAGTGGCCCCCCATCCTTTCCCCCACCAAAGTGCCCTCCGGGGGGTCCTGTCTCCTTTTGACACATAAGGAAGGTGGCCCCAGAAGGCTTATGACAACAGCCATGGGGCCAATGGTGGGAAGGTGACTGACTCCCAACCTTACCCAGCTTTCGTAGAGGTCATCATGTAGTTTTGCATCTGCCAGGATCCCCACCCCCACCCCAATCTGGCACCTCTCTCAAAGGCTATGGTGGCGTTGGTCTTTGCCCAGAGTTCAGTAATGACAGGGGCTGCGTGGTATGCCGATGGGGATGCAGACAAACGCAACAAGCATCGTTGGGCTAAAATCAGATCAGATTGGTTGACCAGACTCTGAGCTATGTCCAGTATTTTCAGCATATAGTCCGGATGATATCCATCCTTTTGTCCAACTTGGGTTTGAGGCAGTGAAGGACACAATAGATGCAATGGTGTTGACCGGGGGGGGGGGGGGGGGGGGGGCTGGCTGGCTCAGGTCTCTCTTCGTTTGGTGCTGCAGAGAACCACAAACCATGGGCCCTGATCCTTACTCCCCACTCAGGATCCCTAACAACTCCAGGGGCCCCTTCTTGGGTGGGATTGGCAACTGGCCATGTTCACAACAGGCTGAGCTGTTGTTCAGGACCCTATCCACCGGCAGGGCGCACACAAACACCAAACGCAGGCATAAAGGACTCATGCCTGCCAATTTGAAAATAACTTTAGGTCTGAGATGGAGATGATCTCTTCAGCATGAAAATCAGGAACCTCAACTTCCTCCTCCTGTGGTTCAGGTTCAAGGAGTTCAGTACAAATTTTCACACTCAGTTTGATAGTCCACACACACAGCACAACAATCACAACAATGGGAATAACAACATTCAGTGATGCAGTTGCAATCACAAAATCAACACATCAGGGAGCTGAGCGTTATTGAGTGTGGTCTGGGGAGGAGTAGTCTCAGTCCTGGGCTGCCCACATAGCCAAGTTTCATTTGCCAAGTATAACACCCACAATCCCCAGACTCCCAACAGACTCCAGAGGACCAATTCCCAAGGTGTTTCAAACATAAGTGTCCAGAGGGGTTGCACACCTGTCACGGTCACAGTTTGTGTTCACAGGGGCAATGCCTCCTTCCTTGGGGATGGGCCAGTTCCAGAAGAAAAAAATGTCCAATAAGACAAGTCATAGTCAGCATAATCAGCAACACCAGGGCCAAACTCACTGCACCTATAGCTGTGTATTGCAGTCCTACCATTCCTCGAAATGAGCCAAGTCAGCAAAGTCAAGAGGAAGGTATGGAAATGCGGATTAGGTGGTGGCCTTTTGTTTGAAAAGAAATGTCAGTCCCAAGTCCCAAGTGATTTGGGGTCACAGTCCACTGCTCTGGCACTTCCTGGTCTGGGCACTTTTTTACATGGGAATGATGGACCCACGAGGACAGGTCTTTCACCTTCAAGGTAGTATGTGTGGAACAGCTTGCCTCCAGAAGTTGTGAATGCCCCAACACTGAATCGCACTCGGAAAACAAGTCTTTAAGAAGATGTTGGATAGCCATTTGTCTGAAATGGTATAGGGTTTCCTGCCTAGGCAGGGGGTTGGACTAGAAGACCTCCAAGGTCCCTTCCAACTCAGCTATTGTATTGTATTGTAATATTGATGGACAGCTCAGGATTTTGAAGGAAGGAAGGAAGGAAGGAAGGAAGGAAGGAAAAAATGGAGGGTTAAATCACTAGCCCAAAAAGAGCCATTTGCTTTAAACAATTTGGAGACAGAAAGGAGAAAGCAGAGACGTGACAAACCCATTCAAACACAAACTTTAAATTTGTATTTGTATTTGAAAAGATTATGCCTTTAAAAGAGATTAGGAAAGTGAAACGGAAACCAAAACATACCGAGAAGATTTGCT